CGAGCATCTGCTGCTCATCAAGTCAGACAGGGCATGCTTCAAAGGGCATTAGGACAATCCACGTGCTGCCCAAGGTTTGCGAGACTGTCCGCTGGAAAGGAGCAGCTAGGACCTTTACACAGTCCTTGTCTGGATGGCGGCGAATGAACCTCGTGGCTTCTAGTCATAAGACATCAAGTGTGACGGGCTCCCTGGCCCCCGGCAGGGGTGGGGCCATTCCTGGGCGGAATCACACCTGTTTACTGGCTCCCAAGCACAGGCGGGTCTGTGGCTGCGACCGGAAGGCCCACGGGAAACGGGAAAACTAAGGACAGAGGCAGCCTCTTCTCTCTGTGCAGGGTGGGGAGGAGCCCGGCCACCCACTCGCCGGGTGAGGGAGACCCCGCCCAGCCAACCTTTTCTGGCCTCTCCACCCCTGATGCCTGACCACGTCTGGCAGAGCTGCCTCCACTCCAGACTCAGGGCCTGGTGCCCTCCCAGGGGGGCATTAGCAGTGACGGATCCCCAGGCCCACAGCCCGGAGGGAAGGCACAGGTCCTCCAGGCTCAGAGCCCACGATGCCCCCACGGCGGCTGCGTGCAGAGTGAAACTGGAAGGACAAACAGAGCAACAGACCAGCAGGTCCCCTGTGGGAGGCGTCAGAGCCCACCTGGTGCGATACACCACTACTCACGCCCATGTGGTCTTGAGCAAGTCATGGGCCTCAGTTTCTCCACCGGGAACAGAGTACTGGCATCTGACTGTGAAGGGTAACACAGGCCACATCCCCAAAGCCTAGTGCGCCACAGGCCCTAGACAGACGGTGGTCAGGATCGGTCACGGAGCCCAAAGGTCACTGCCAAAGGGGTCTTATCTGCCTTAGGACGGGAGGGGGACGGGGGGCTGTGGCAGCCACTTTGAGGTGGTGGCCTCGCCCGTCCTTCCCTTGGGCTCTGCCCCAGCTGCACAGGGCTACCTCGGCCAAGGTCGAGGACAGGGCGGCCCACACCTAATGACCAACCGGGGGGCGGGGGGGGGAGCTGAAGGCCTGGATAGCTCCCCCAAACTCAGGACGCTTCTGAAGGGCTTCCGCAGCTCTGTGCTCCCTGCGGGGTGGGCCCAGGCCCATGAGGCCTGCACTGCGGCTGGAGCCCTCCTCTGCCTGTGTCCTTCCCCTCCTCCCCAGGGCTCCCCCTTGGGAGCCCCCTGCACTCTCCACTGTCTGAATCTGCTTCCCGGGAAACCCAGGCCGTCACAGGTGGCTTCTTTGTATCCATTTTCCTTTGGAAGGGAGGCGGGAACCCCTGTGAGGAAGACAGTGGATGCCATGGAGGAAAACGCCAGGAAAGAGTCAACAAAAGCACGGCGACCTCTTCCCTTCCTCTGCAATGTAAACAGTGGTGTTAAAGCAGGAGCCGCACAAGGCACTGGGCAAAGCAGCAACACTCACCAAGCAGCATCCAGAATCTGTCCTGGACTCTTTCCTCACAGGCACAAAGACACAAAGAGGCCACAGAGGAGGAACAGCGAAGAAAAGGGAGGCGGGGGGAGAAGGAGCCCCTGGGACCACATGGTACCAACCCCACAAAGACGGCCAAGGAAAGTGCCAGAAGCGTCCTTGGAGACAAGCAAGTCAGTTACCGGAAACTGAGGTGTCTTCAGACCTAAGGGTCCTCAAAGGCAAGAGCAGGGATCCAGGGGCTCTTCCCACAGTGGAAACACCGACAGGGACACCTCCGTTCACCCCAGGAAGGGGCCCATGTAACCAGCCCAAACAACGCCTTTGCTTGGCTCCTGGCTAGACCTATGTCAACCCCGATGGTCATGGTTACCTTACCCTGCCTCTCACAGGCAAGAGCCCTGTAGCCATAGATACTCTTCTATTTGGAAGTAAAATCTCCTCCTAATTCAAGAAACGCAGGGTGTTGGGCAGACACAGTCTTTCAAAAAACACCAGATCTAGGGAAGGGAAGGCCTCCATGTGGGGAGCCCCTCAGCAGGGCCGGACGCTTCGCACCACAGATGGGTAGGGGGGAGACCTAGAAACAGGAGGTCCCCCAACAGGGTGAGGCCAAGAATTGACCACCAGAGGCTCCGATGAGAGACTTCCTCCTTGGCCACACAGCCGGCCACGGAAGTGCCAATAGAGACTCGGCCGCCAAAGCAGGCGTGAGGCAAGTGCTCTCCTGTGTGCGGGGTAGCGCGGGCCCCGGGCCAACTCTGCAGACAGCAACTAGAAAGGGCAGCAAGCCGGGCCCCACCATCCCACCCCTGGGGGTTCCTCCTACAGCTGGGCTTGTACCCTGTGGACAGGCCCTTCTCAAGGGCTACTGTGACCGCTGCTTCTGTGACCCAGGGCACAGCCACGCAGCGGTCACACTGAACCTGCTCAACACACACGGACACGCAGCAGTGGCCCAGACACCCCGTTCCATGGCAGAGGCAAAGAGCAGGTGGATGGCATGGAGCGTGGAGACTCACACACACACACACATACACACACACCACATACGTACTTTCATTACACCCAGGGCACTAGACTAGGAACCCAGGCTTCGGGAAGGACACTCACTGTTCACTGCGCAGGTTTTGTGTGTGTGTGTGTGTGTGTGTGTGTGTGTGTGTGTGGTCTTTGGAGTTTTCTACACATGAAGGTCATGCGTAGGCAAAAAATAAAATATGACTCCATTTACATGATCTACCCAGAATGGGTAAATCCACAGAGACAGAGCACATATGAGTGGCTTCCAGAAGGAGGGAGAATGGGGAGTGACTGCTTTTTATGGGTATGGGGTTTCCTTTCAGGGTGACAAAAATGTTTTGAGACTATTGGAGTTGGTGTTTGTAAAACGCTGAATGTACTAAATGCCGCTGAACTGTTTACTTTAAAATGGCTAATTACGTGGTGTGGGATGTTCATCTCAATTAAAAATAAAAACCAAATCCACAAAAATAAATAAATGCAGACACGAAACAGCTTTCCGCATCTGTGCTTGGGAGGCAGCATGGCGATGCTGGTTAGGGGCATGGGCACAGTGTCTGAACTGGGGGACTCCAATGCACAGCTATGCCCAGCACTGCCACCTGGGAGGCCTCGGTTAAGTGATCTGACTTCCCCAGGCTTTATTGTCCTAGTCGGTGAAATGGGCCTAATGACAGAACCTGCTTCCCAGGGTTGTTGCAACTAGTAAATTAAATGGTAGAAGGTAATTGCCCAGCGTGGGACCAGGCGTAGACTGGCTCCAGGGCCTTTGCCCCTGCTGTCTGCCCACCCAGAACGCCCTCCCCCAGGACAGCTACTGCCTCCTCCAGGCTTTTCCTCCAATGCCACCTTCCTGATGGGGCGCTCCCTGATCCCCTGACTTAAAACCTGAAACCTCTCTGCCAACACCCGCCCGGAGGCTCCACCCCCTTCTCCGCCTGTATCTCTCCCCAGGATTTGATTATTTATCTGGGCCACCTGCCGTCTCCTTCCACTGCCCTGTCTGTCCTGTTCTGTGTGTGTGCGAAGGCCTTGAACAGGGCACAGAGCCCAAGGCAGGTGCTCAATAAACACATGTTGAATGACTGGTGTTAGCAAACACCTCCGCCCCAATCCCCTGTGTGAGCCTGCCTCCCAGACAGAGGAAAATGGCTGTTTTGTTGTTTAATCAGCCCAGAATTAAAAATTAAGCACTAGTTTGCAGTTAAAAGTCACAATATTCCCAGTAAGCGTTATTCGCCAAGGGGGGACATCTGCAAAGGGAAAGAGACAGAGAGCAGCCAGACGGTGCCGTATGCTCAGAAACATAAGCCAACGAAGTCACCCCAACCTCCAAGCGCCCTTTGTGCCGTGAGAGCTGGTCCCATGAGGCTTTGGGAGGATACGGACCACCGTGTGGCCGTGCTCGCCCAGGACCCCGTCCCTCCTAGCCCCTCAGGCCATAGCCATTCGCAGAGAACTGACAGCCATAGGCCTTCCCCAGCCCTGCCCTCCTGGGGGGGGGGCAGCGGGCACCCTCCTGGGACTCAGCTTCCCAAGGGCCTCAGGCCTCAGAGTGGGGAGATCGTGTCCCTAATTCAAAAATGGGTGGGGGGAGACAAAAACCCTCAGACTCTGCTAAAAATAGGCTTTCTAGTTCGTTCTCCTATGAGACCACGACTTCGTGACTCCACAGAACAAGAGAGCCGCTTTCTCGCGGTTTCCAAACCCGGACAGGGTAAAAGAAAAAGCTGAAGCTAGTGGTTGCCAACAGTTCGAGGTTCAAACAAGACCCCGAAAAGGTGAGTAAAACCAGCAAGTAAGCCCCTCCCAACCCACCAGGTGCCGGGGCTGTGTGTGTCACCTGGCTGGGGGCTGGAACCCAGGCTGAGGGCTGAGTTCTTCGGAGACACCTGGTCCACAGGTTTGAAATTTCCTGGAGAGTCAACACATCATTTGCTTTCTAACCAGTTCCTGGGTGAAGGGATGCTGCTGGTCTCGAGACTACACTTTGAGAACCACTATTGCTCAAGAGCAAAGCCTTCCACGTTAATCTTGCAATGGCACACATGACCTCCAGACACACACACACACTCCTGCCCAAACACGGGTCCTCAAACAGCCAGACCCACCTGGCCCAGCCACCAGTGGATGGAACCCAGAGGGGTGCCTGGACCCCAGAAGCTGCTCCCATTCAAGTTCCTGCACAAGCCCATCCCCGAGAGAGGCTCTGGGGCACACCCGAAACCCCTGAAACCCGAAGGCACAGCATTTCCCTTTTTGGAGAGCCGTCACGAGCCATCCTGCCCCGCGCCCCCCGCCCCCACCTGCACGTGGGTAACTCCCAGCTGCAAGATCCGCTTTCAACTCAGGGACGCTTTCAAGTTTCTGAATCTGAAGCAGCAGCCAAAAGAGGAAACCGCACATTTAAAAAAAAATTTAAAAAAAAAAGGCGTGGCATTGACGGGCAGCTGCAGCATCCCTGATGGGCAGGGAGCACCTCCCAAAACGCAGGGACCTCGTCACCCATGGTGGGCAACGCCACACGTCTCTCACTCACCAAAATAATCGGCCTTCGGGTGCGCGTCCATTTCTCGCTCCAGACGTTGGGTTAGGGCTTCTAATTTCAATTCGGCAGCGGAGGGCCCGAGCTCGGGGCCTGGGACGAGGGTCTGGCAGGGCAGCCTCACCCTGGGGGGGCTGGGGCTCTCCGGGAGCGCAGGCCCCAGGCTGCCATCCGACGACCAGCCAGGGGGACCTTCTTTACAAGATAACTCGGGCGGGGTGGACATCACTGGGTGGACAAGGCTGGTGGGGCTGAGCTTGGGACCAACGCCAGGGTCTGTGCAGACTGGCTTGGGACCCAGCCCAGGGGCCACACCCGACGGCATACTGTCCACGCTGGCTGGTGAGGATGATGAGGCAGAACTAGAAAGGTAAGATTTGGGTCCATCTTGGAACCAGACTTGAGGGTCCACCGTGGCTTTGGGCATCGGGCCTGAAACCTCGCTGCCCACCCCCGAGTTTGTTCTTGGAAGAGCTCCTTGGCTGGGGCAGCTCTGGGCCAAGGGGGCTAAGAAAGAGGAGGTCCTGGGCGGAGGGGGCCCTACCATGGCCCCATTCTCTGGGCCTGGGGAAGAAAGGCCAGGGCTCACCCGCGGGGAGGAGGTAGTCCAAAGCCCAGCCGGCTTCTCGTCACCGCGGCCACCAGCGCCATCCTGGCTGCTCTCAAATGACCTGCTGGAGCTCAGGGACAGCTGAGGCTGGTACAGGGAATGGTCCCTGGAGGGTTTGGGCAGTGGTGCGTCCGTCCCTGGGGGGCTAGGCCACCCACTTCCTGCGCCCGGCCTGATGCCGGGGGACACTCGGGGTTCATCAGCCCACTTTGGGCTTGCCAAGGAGAGGTTGTCATAATAGTCTCCGTGGGTGAGGCAGGAAGGGTCCTCGCAGGAGCCCAGTGGGCGGAAGCCAGACATCTCCCAGCCTGCCAGGTTCTCCTTGGAGCCGCAGTCCTGGCTGCCGTGACTTGCGCCACGGGCGTATGTTCTGGCCCTCTGCTCCTGGGGTGGGTATGAGGGCTGCCCGGGGGCGACAGAGGGGACAGTCCCAGGACCCACCATGGAGGCAGCGAGAGGGGGCTTGGCAGCACCATCCACGGTCAACTTGCTGCTCACACCAGCGTCCCGGCGGGCCTGTGGGCCCGTGGGGGCCCCACCGTTGACTGGGCCCCGACTCCCCCTGGGCAGGGTCTCCTCCTGCAAGAGCTGTTGCTGCTGCTGGAGGTGGATCTTGGCCATTTTGGTGGCAAACACCCGGCGCGTTTCCTCAAACTCAGGGTTGTTGCCTGCCCCCTTGTCCACTCGGAAGAGTCCATCCTTGGAGGCCTCGTACATGTTCAGGTCCTCGATGAATTTACTGGCCTCCAGGCCCAGGTCCCCATACTTATCCATGTCGCAGACGGGTATCAGAGCCCAGCGCAGGTGTCCGGTGTGTGTGGTGGAGGGGGTGGGGGGTTGGTTGCTAAAGACGGGCAGGAGCTCAAGTCCAGCCCAGGACAGGTAAAGCCTTCCACCTGCCCGGCGTGAGAGTCATGACCCAGGCCTCAGAGTCCAGCAGAAGTTGAAGCCTCAAGGCCAGCTGGACTGAGTTTGCTTCCAACTCCCTTTCCCCTCATTGGTGTCCACGTGGGGGCAGCTGGTGGCTCTTCCCTGTCCCAGCCTGCTGTGCGTTCTCTTCTCTTTTTCAAATCGTAAAAGGAAAAATGGGGGGGGGGGGAATCTGCTCCGTAAGCAATCGAACTCGGAAACCGACGACGCGAGCAGCCGCTGGACGGGGCCGGGATGCCGCCCGCGGGGCGGAGAAGGAGGAGGCCGCGAGACCCGCAGCAGCAGAGGCGCGGGCGGCGGGACGCTCGGGCTCGTCCCGCGCGCTGGGTGCTCGCGGCTTCGGGGCGGGCGCGGAGAGGGACGCGGAGAGCGGCGCACGGGCCGGCCCGGGCCGGGCAGGAAGTCCGCTGCAGGCGCGGCGGGCGGCCTATTGTCCGATGGCGGCGGCGGCGGCCCGGCGCGCGCGGGCCGGAGGACGGCGGGACGCGGAAGTGAGCGCGCCGGACGCAGTCCCCGCGGCTCGGTGGCCGGCCGGGCACGTCCCGGGCCTCGAGGAGGCGGAGGCGGGGGAGGCAGCCGAGGGGCGGGGTCGGCGGCGGCGGCGGCGGCGGGCGGGCGCCCCGGGGCGGGCCTGCGCCTGGCCGCGTGGCCCCAACGCCCGCACCCCGGCCGGGCTGGGGGACTCGGGGCCGGCGTTAGCGCCGGCCAGCAGGCATCGCGCTGGGGCTTCCCCTGTCACCGCGGCCCCCGGCAACCCGGGCCCCGCTCCAGTGCTTGGGTCGGGCCCCGCCTCTGGCCGCGCTGGGCGGGGTGGGGGGTGGGGAGGTGGCCTCCGCGCGGAGACCGCTCGCAGGCGGCCGGGGCAGCCGGCGGGGTACGCGACGTGCCACTTGGAGTTTGCGGGAGTCTCGGGGGCCCGTGCTCCTCGCCCCACCGTGCCTCAATTTCCCAGCGTGGGGCAGTCAAACCCGTGTGCCGCCCGGGGCCGCCTCAGCCCGGACGGTGCCATCCTCTCGGCTTGCCGGAGGTGCGCGATCGGAGGCCCGGGACGTCACCCGGGGCTGGCCCGAGGTTCTAACAGGTGGGCAGACTAAGGCACAGAAGGGGTAGCGTCCGAGATGCCATCGTGGGAGCCCAGGTCCTCTGAAAGGGGGAAAAGGAAAAAGTCACATTGTTCCCGGAGTGCGCGCGTTTAAGGCTTTCAGTGCAGCAATAAAAACAAGCGCCCCAATGACTCCTTATTCATATGGGGATTCCTGACCCGCCTCCTCAGGTTCTCGCGACCCGGGGATGCGGGGCGGGGCGCGGGGCGGGGGGGTGGGGCGGGGGCTCCGCTGGGCCTGACTCCAGGGCGCCCCCGCATGGCCCCGCGCTCCCTGCACCAACTCCGAGGTGACTCTGGAGAGGTGCCCTTTCGCACAGGGCAGCCAGAGTGATCCTAAGGCAAATACCAGACCAGTCAGTTCCCTGCTTAAACCCTCAATGCTTTCCTGGGCTTAGACTGAAATCAGCTCTCTACCAGGGCCTTCCCCAACCTGATTTGGGAGCTTCCTGTTCCACACACCGTCCTCCTCCCCGTGCTGCAGCTGGAAGAGCTTCCTAGTGCCTGCCCAGAGTCTGACCTTGAACTTCCCTAGTTCATCATTCCCATGGCTGCTGAAATCATCTCCTCCTAGAGGCCTTCTTTTTAGGCACCTTCTTTATTTTCTGATCAGTCCTGATCATATTTGTAATTCTTTTTCTGTTTACATGCAGTGTGTTTGGTGGGCGGGTGGTTTTCCACCTCCTTAGATGGGATCTGTATGCCCAGTGCCTAGTACATAGTAGTACCTAATGGTACCGAGCAAGGAGCCGGATGCAGGACTCGATCCCAGCATCCTGGGATCATGACCTGAGCCGAAGGCAGACGCTTAACCGACTGAGCCACCCAGATATCCCAATACATAAACTTTTTAAAAAGTTGCCCACAATCCCCCTGTTCAGAGATGATGATGATGATGATGAATTCAGTAATACATAATATTCAATAATCTTTACTCATTAATAACTGGGCGTCCTCACAAGGTGAGTGACAGGCATCTGAACTTTCTGGAACAGTGGTTCTCAGGGTATGGTCCCAGAGCCAGCAGCATCAGCATCCCCTGGAACTGGTCTAAACCTGTGGTTCCCAAACTTGAACATGCATCAGAATTCCTTAGGGAGCTTATTAAACACCCGTTGCTGGGACCTACCACCAGTTTCTGATTCAGTGGTTCTAGGGTGAGGTCTAAGAATTTGCATCTCTACCTAGTTCCCAGGTGATATCGATGAAGGTTCAGGTACCACCCTTGAGAACCACTGGTCCAGAGTCCCCATTCCCATGCTTCCTCTCGGTGCACAGAACGGTGAGGGTGTCTATCAGAGTAGAAAGCTATGGCCCACATTCCCTGACCCTGCGAGTACTGGGGTGTAGCTGACAAAGTCCTGGGAGCACGTGCCCATTCCTGTGCGAAGACCAACAAGCTCAGAACCAGGTTCCTGGGTGTTCGGTTCTAACAGCTGGAACCCTGGTATCAGAGCCACAGATACCTGCCAGGGCCTCTTGTAAACCAGTTTTCTCATTTGATGCTAACTTGGCAGCAGCACCTGGGCCCCTAAGCCTTGGTCCCAACCCTCATTTTGCCTTGCCTGGAGGGCTCAGAAGCCATGAGTTTTACTCCCCATCCCCACTGCAGTTCTAGAAGCTACTGCACTCTTTCCACCAAATAATACAGACACCTGAACCCGCCATTTGCATATTTCCTCACCAGACTGACTTGTCCCCTCTCGGTCCATGGAGTACCTTACACCTTTACAAAGCACCTTGGAAAAATGGCACCCCATGAGCCACAAGCCACATAATATACTATACTACTGGGGAGAGGTACTCAGACCTGGCCAGCAGCCCACTGGATATCTTACCACTGCTGTTTAATATTTAAAAGACAGACGTGTTTTCCCATTCTGTGCCCAACATTTAGAATCCCACCCACGATTATTTCCTGCAGACCAATTTTGTCTGTTCTGTGTGCTTGGAAACATCTGTTGATTCGAATCTCAAAATATGGGTTAATTCCTTGCGCATCAGTTGTTTAAAAAGCAAAAATACTGAAGAGCTCGGTATTTGCATCGATCCCTAGGCAGAGCGTGGATGATTTTGTTTTCGCGTTTACAGATAATGTTTTGTTTTGTTGGGTGAGAAATGTTCCATATTCTGTTTTATCAGGAGAGCCATTCCAAGGCAGTGATCATTCCCCATGGCCCTGCCTGGAGATCCAAGGGCATGACCAACACGCAGTTTTCCTTTGGTCTTGAAGCTTATTTTCATGAGCACATGGATGTAAAAAGGACCCGCCCTCAGGGCGCCTGGGTGGCTCAGTCAGTGAGGCGTCCCACTCAGGATTTCTGCTCAGGTCATGATCGCAGGGTCAGGAGGTGGAGCCCGGCATCAGGCTCCGTGCTGGACAAGGAACCTACTTGAGGTTCTCTCTCCTTCTGCTCCCTCGTCCCCAGAAAAAGTGCCTGCACATGCACACACTTGTGAAATGTGGAATTTTCAACTTAACCTGCCCATAATCTCAGTAACATCCATCATGTCCTGTACCTCCCCAGCTTCAAACCCTCCAGCAGCATGCCGAGTCACCCTGAGAACAAGACCCCCACCTTGACCCCACGTGATGGGGCCTCTTGCCACCTGTGCCTACCTCCTAATCCCCTTCTAACCCCCCTTCTTCCTCCACTCCAGCCCCACTGGCTTCCTCACCGTCCTCCGCCCATGCCCTCACCTGGCTTTTGTTCACTCACTGAACAAACGTTACTGAGTGCCTAGGATACCCCGGGCCCTTTTCCAGGTGCTGAGGATACGGCTGTGAACAGAATAGCCAGACATGCCTGTCCTGTCTGGACTTACATCCCAGTGGGACGGGCTGGACAATAAACAAAGCAGATACACGCCTGGCGGGGGACCTGAGCAAGTGAGGAGAGAGGCGGCCAAAGATGAAACCAGGAAGAGGATGGGGAGGAGACGCCATCTTGAATACATGGTTGGGGACGGTCTCGCTGGGCACAGACTTGAAGAAGAGCAAACTGTAGGAGCCTCAGGAGTTTTGTTGGGTAACGTGGAATAGGGGGGAATGCCATCAAGAGAGGCTGCTTTAGAGGTTTGTTTGTTTTTTTTTTCCCATTATGGGAAATGGTACGTACATGTTTCTCTGCTGATGGGAATGGCCCACTGAGGTAGATGGGAGTTGGGGGAGGATAATTGCTCTTGGAGGAGAGAGAGAAGGGAATGTTGGGAGGGATATACCTGAGCACCAGAGAGGGCCAGGCTCCACTGCCTATTTTGTCCATGGTAACAGAAAGGATGGGGGCAAGAATCAGGTAGGTAGGTACCTAAGATGTATGTTGGAATCTTGGAGTGGTACGTAGCTCTTCGGATTACTCTTAATTTTCTTGGTGAAAGAGGAAGTAAGGAGAGTTAGCTGAGAGGGGAGGCCAGGGGAGCTGCTGCTGGGAACCGGCCATCTAGAGGAGTAGGAGAGTGAATGGCCTGGAGAAGCATGGAAGCTTTCCTCTCACTCCCAACTCCCACCCTGAGATCCGGGGCATGGATTCCAATGAGGCCAGCCAGCACGGTGGCGTGGTTTTCTCTAGCCCAAGTTCAGTTGCCCAGATGTGGGCATGAGGTAAGTGAAGAGCTGGGTCCAACCAGGGAGGGCTTCTGCCAAGTGAGTACAAAATAAGCAGCACGGGCAAGACAGTTGCCACTTCTGCCTCCACCCCGCTCCCCTCCCCGATGTCCCATACCCCTGTGATTCCCTGGCTTACAACCCTCACACCTGCCCTCAGGGGTCCCTTCTCCCAAGTCCTTCTCCACTCCCTTTCTCCAGCCCCATCCGCACCTGACACAGCCGTGAACGCCTGTCTCTTCACTAGGATGCAAACCTCACCGGGCTCTGGGTTATTGGTCATTCTGCTCATTGCTACGTCCCAGGAACCTGGAATGATGCTGGGCACATGGGAGGCCCCCTCCTCCCCAGGATGCTTGGTAAATACATCAGAAAAGGGACTACAGGCATCATCGTCGATAGCCGGACAAAATTCATTGGACTTAACCGTGACCCAGATTTGGAGAGACAAAGAGGAGGCCGTATTATTACCCTGGTGACTTTGTGTGTCCTTGCAAACCTTCTATAGAGCTTGTCAATTACCCGGTACAAGTGTTTGATCTGCATCACAGATTCCCTATCTCGCTAGTCAAGAGTATGACTGTTCATAAATGTGTGTGTATTTGAATGCATAAAGGATATTGGACGGAAGAATATCTGTTTGCAAGCATGCATGTTTATTTTTTATATAGGTGAATTGTGGGATAAAGGGCATTCGCAAACCCCTATCCAAGAGAC